GCCGTCGGAGGGGACAGCGTTTCCCACGACGTAGCCAGCTCCACCGGGGCTGGCTGACACGTGTGCAGGGGAGGGATGCTACCTTTGATCTTCTCCAGCTGGGCTGTTATGTCTCTCTGACATTTCTCCTTAGCTTCCACCAGGAGATAGATCTGCTCTTCTTTTGTGAGAACATCATCGGGGTCAACCTGCCAAGGCAAAGCCGAAGTGACGACCCTCCTGCCTCCACGTGGCTCAGGCCAGCGGTGTCGGATGGCAGCTCAGCTCAGGCCTCTTCTTCACGCTCACAATTTAGAGATTAATCCTCAGTGGGAGACCTCAACCTGCCCCGGTGATCTCCACATCCCCAGAGAGCTGCCACTGCCTGCTCGGTGACGTGAGCCACCCGTGGCCAGGATCCAGGAGCTGGGAGCCACGCTGCTGTGTCGCAGCAGCACCCCGAGGTGTGGCTGATGAGACACCCACAAACGCTTCCCAGCTCGGGGCAGGACCCACATCGCTTCCACTGCCACAAAACACCCCGTTGCTCCCTGCCACCAACCCCTAAATCCACCCAGCTAATTAACACCAAGTCCAAAATCACAAGGGTTTCGGGGGCTGTTACGAGATCATCATCTCCTAATGCAGAAATGACACTTTGCTGAACCCTGCAGCGTGGTGTCTTGCCCACAGACTCATCACATCAAGCAGGACCGTCCTTGGGGCAAGAAGTGAAAGTCAGAGCTGGGGCAAGAGGCAGGCAGGGAAGACAGGGGCACGCACGGAAAATGGATGTGCTGGTAGGCAAAGCTAACGACGCAGCCACAGCATGGCCGTGCTCCCCCGACCCTCCCCGGGTGAGTCAGGTTTGTGCAGCTTTGGGTAGATCCAAATGTTACCGGGAAGAGAACAGTGCTGCTCGCCTTTCTGCTCGTGTTCCTTCTTCTGGCAAGGCTGAGGCTGACCATGCTCCCCCCCCTCCCGCCCTCTTCCACCCTGTCCATTGTCCATTGAGAAATGTTCTGTGCTGGAAATCAGTGGTCTGTGGGGCTTTTGCCCCAGCTCCCTCTCACCGACCCCACCAGTGGGACTGGATGTCCCTGTCCCCCACGCTGGGCCCTTCAGAGCCGGGTCTGGCTCTGCAAACAAGTGGGTGCTCAGCGCCAGGAGCAGCGCGATGCAGATGCAGCCTGCGGCATCTGCAGCCTCCCCGCCGCACCGCACATGCGAACGTCTTTTGGGACATCTTGGCCTGAGCTGCTTCTAGGAGTTTGGAGCTGAGATGAGGAAACTGCTTTGGAAGTGAAAAGGAGCCAGGCTGTGGGGGGGTTCGCGTTGGCTCCCAGACTGCCTGCGGGTGAGCACGGCCAGATCCTGCCCCAGAGAGGAGACCCTGAACTCCCATTCACGCTCTTCCCAAAAGCAGCCGTCTGGGTGGGTGGATGGGGGGGGCTGGAGTGGGGGTCCTGGGGGTGCAGGTGGGGGATCAGCTTGGGGAGACACACCGGGTGCACCCAGCTCTGCCCTCGCTGCATCCCTCCACCCTTGTTTGCGCTGACCGTAACTCCCCCTGCTCTTTCTGTTCCCCCGATGCCTCCGAGGCAGCGAACCCTGCCCTGGATGTGTCCAAGAAATGGAAAAACCATCACATCGCAGTGCCTCCATGGCTGCTGGAAAGCTTTTAGTGGGAGAGGAGAAAGGATCTCCCCTCCTGCCCAGCTCCTGCCCAGCAGCTCTGTGAAGCATGATGTTGCAGCCAGGGGGTACTTGGCCCCCGACCAGAGCAGGTTGCACAATTAGCAATATTTAAAGCCAGGAGAGGGACCGGAGGAACCCACAGGGCCACGCGGACTTACCAGAGCCCACGCAGAACTCAGGAGGCAGCAGCAGAGGAGAGCCGCCGTGATACCTCCCACAGGAACGGATGCCTCCATGGTCCCACTGTGTCGCTCGGATGGGGACCTCAGGGACAGCGAGCTGGAGAAAGCAAAGCCTTTGCCTGGGGACAGCCCGAATCACTGCCAGCCCGGGGCTGCGGGTGATGGCGGGGGCTGGCGTGTTCGGCAGGACAGAGCATCTTCTGGGAGCACCTTCCCGGCCGCCGGCCCCGGCGAGGCGAGGTGGCAGTGAGGACACAGCCCGTCCCTGGGAGCTCAGGGCTGGGGGAGCACCCTGGGGTGAGTCCCCTGTCCCGGTGGGCTCTGCCCCGGCAGCGCTACAGGGATCTGCTCGCAGGCTTACCAGGCAGAGGGGTTTCTCCCCCCACCATGCTTGCTCCTATTCAGTCTCCGCGTCCTGCCTGCTTTAAGCGGCTCCTAGAGCATGTGCAAACATTTCCCGTTTGGATGGGGATGGCAGAGGTTTATTGGCTCAGCCCTAGGTGCTAAAATCCTCTTCATTCAAGGCAGATTCCTCTTCTCTTTTCAGAAACTTCTCTCACTGCCTGGTGGCTCGTTTTTCAGCTGTCGCGGCATCCCCCACTGCCCCTGCGCTGCTCAGTCTCCTCCAGCCCCAGACTGATCCCAAAGAGCCAAAGGATGGGGGGAAAATCCCAGTGACAGCTGGAGGTACGGAGGCAGAGGGTGCAAGCACGTGAGCATCACCTCGGCACTGATGCTCCCGAGATGGGATGTCTTTCAGACAAAATCCAGTTTAACCCTTTTCCCTCTCTCAGGGTTGGGGTGTGTTTTGGGGAGATGTGCTGGGATCAGTCCTGCTCCCCACTGGGACAAGCACCCCGCTGCCTTTGGGTGCTTGCTTTGCAAAAAGACCTCACTGCCCAACTGCATTCAGTGTTCTGTGGAGGGGGGCTGATGGAGCAGGAGCCCCTGCTAAGGCGGGAGCAGGCAGGGCAGACAGACAGTCCTGGCAGCAGGGATTTTCCATCCTGATGGGTGTCTCACGCAGCCCATGAATGAGATGAGCTGAACCGACAGGGCCGGGAGGTCCTTGGGTATCAGATCAGAGCTAGTCCCACTGCAGCTGACACTGTCCTCATCAGAGTGGTCCCTTGTCACCTGCAGCCCCTCGAAGAAGCCCCAGGGCAGTCCCCTGCATTTTGGGATCATGCAGATGCCCAGCTTACTCCCACCACCCTGCCAGCTCCAACACCTTGTGTCCCCCCAGCAGCCTGAGCATCCTCCTGGGGAAATGGGGGCACAAAGCAGGGAGTCCTTGTTCCCTGAGGAGGTTGTCATTAGTGGGATGAGGCTGAAATTCCAAAGCCCAATGCCAAATCCCTGGAACAGCAGGCTTGCAGCCCAGGGCCTCTCTCCTGGCCCAGCTCAGCTATTGCTGCCTCCCTAAGTACCAAAATCCTGCACAGAGCAGAGCTCCTGGAGCCTCCCTCAGGGTTTTCCTGGCAGGGTGGCTCATCCTGGCCCCAACCATGAGCCCCCATGGCTGCTTGGAGGAGGATCGGACTTTTGCTGGGCTCCTGCAGCGAGGGAAGGCGCATCAGCCGGCTGAGAGAGCAAAGCAAATCCAAATGACAGCACTCAGGAGGTGCTGCTGCTCCCTCTGATTAAATCAGACAGAAGAACAAGCCTCTCTGTTGCTTCCTCTGCCACCGCAATCAGCTGTAAATCAAGGAGGGATTTGGGACATCTTTGGCAGCTGCCCATCTCCCCAACCCAATTTAGCCACCGCCCCAGACCCTCGCGTGGGTGCTGACACCAGCCCGGCAGCATCGCTCTGCTGAGCTCCCGTGCTTGCTCATCGGGATGCTGCGTGGGCACGTGGGGCAAGAGAAGGGATAAGCAGTTAAATTGCAGGATTAATGTTTTCTGAAGGCTCTTCTGGGTACTGATTTCTGACCCAGAAGCTGCTGGGGAGTGGGGACAGAGTTAAAGTGAGGTTATTTTGAAGTCAGATGCGTGTGGATGGATGCTGGCTGAGGGGAGTCAGCCACGCTCAGGGGCAATTTAATTCCCACTGCAGGCGAAATCTGACCCAGGCTCTGAGTTTGCAGTTAGCAAAACATGTTGGGGCTTTTGTTGCTAAATTGCTTGCTATGTTATAGAGAGATGTGGAAAGGAATCATTGCAAATGACACCCACCCAGCCCCATCATTCAGCCCCCTCAGCTCCCCAGATCCACACCAGCAGTCGTGAGATGATGGCAGACAGCTAATTTCCCGGCAGTTTACAGCTGCTCCCCCCTCCTGAAGAACTCCCGTAACCCGGCTGGCGATGGCTCAGCCTCCGGCTCGAGCAGCATTTCAGCAAGGAAGAGGCTGGGGGGGCTCTGAGCACAGGGCTGAGCTGGTGACACCCCCTGATCCCATCACTCCTCGCTCTGCAGCAGCTCCAAAACAGCAGGATTAGACCTACCTGGTCATGCCAAGCCTGAGCCACTGTGATACATGACCTGAACCAGTCTGACTAAACCACCCGAAAATACAAGTATAACTGAATTTTCTGTACCTATGTATAAACAAAACTTAAATACATACAGATATAATGTGTGTACATATATATATATATATACAGACAAATACAATAACTCAGATTCCAGCCAGCACCAAGACCTTGTAGCTCTCGCACCAGGACCAACAGCATCTCGCAGGATCCTGTTCCACCCAGCGGCTTGCAACTGTCCCTGCAGCCCAATTTAAGCAAGCATTGGCCAGAGAATTGGGGCTGTGCAGCATCTCCACAGCAGAGAAGGTGCTCTCACCCGTTGTAAATAATTTTTTGTCCATTTATTTCTGTTACCAATATACCAGCTGTCGGACCACAGTGCAAACTAGGGACAGGGTTTCTTCCCCCTGTGCTCTGTTGCAATCTGGCAATATTTAAGTTGATGTTTTGGTGTAACCCTTGAGCCCCATTTTCTGGGATGCTGAACCTCAACCGCTTCTTCTGCCTCTTCTGCAGATCTTCAAACAGTTGGGAGGAGGGTGAGAGCGGGAGCATCTCCCAGCAGAGCCTGCCCAGAGAGGAGCCGAGAGGAGACCCCATCGCCTGTTCTACCCCAGAGGTTTTGGGGACGCATGGGGTGAGTGGTGCAGGGCTGACCTGATGAATTAAATGCCTGGCTTTAGCCATCGTTTACATTGCTCTCGTTAGCCATCCTGATGGAGGTGAGCACGGCTTCTCGCCTGCAGCATGGCCTTTTCCAGGGCACAGTCTCAGCCCTGGGAAGAGACTGAGGCAAACCAGACCCTGAGGACAAGGCTGGGGGGATCGTTCCGAGAGGACTGAGCTCCTTTGAAGTAGCACTTCATAAATCCTGGTCCTAAAAAGGGCTCTGCAGCGTTCGCCCTTGCAGGCCTAAAAACAGACGCGCTTTTCCCGTGGGTATCACGGCAGGTTTATCAGCCATCATGTTGCTATTTTCTTTCCAGGCACCCGGGGCCATACGCGTTTAGGTTTTCAGTGATCGTTTAGCAAGCAGCCCCCATGCAGCCCACCCAGTGCAGGTGCTGGAGGGGGAGATGTCCCCCCTTTTGCGGCTGGGGAGGGGTGGCTGGTGGCTTTGCTGCGCCGGGAGCTGATGACAATGGGCAATTGTCAAGTTGGGGCCCCTCTCGTTTGAGTTTTCTTCCTTTTATAGTAAGTAGCAGTTGCTCCAGCAGCTGGCCTGCCCCTCTGGGGTGAGGACAGGGCTCAGTATATAAGAGAAGGAGCAGACTTTGCCTTTCATCCCTCTGTTCGGCTGCTTCACTGGGCGGCAGGGCTCATCCTTGCAAAGACCCAGCGCGATGCCGCTCAAGAAACCCGACCCGAAGAAGGAAGCAGCCAAACTGGCTCCAGCCCCGGAGCCACCCAGGGAGCCTGCCTTCGATCCCAAGAGTGTGAAGGTGAGTGAGGAATGAAGACGTCACCATCTTTCTTCGTGTCTGTCATCTGCCAGGCACAGGCAATGCATTGCGCCATGCAAATGGCATTAGCCAGGCTGAGAGCCAGAGTTGGGAGGGGAAAATCATCAGGTTGCATTGATTCAGCGGGCTGGGAGTGATGCTCTCCTCGCTGCGGGGATGTTTCCATCTTCCCCCATCCAGCCCTGCACAGCACTCACCCAAGGAAACTGCTTCACACTCGCACCAGGACGCTGCTGCCCAGAGCTCCGGCTGCGGAGTCAAACGCCCCACAGCTCCTGGCCGAGACGCTTCGTCGGGGCCACGGCAGCATTAAAAAGCTTTTCTGCCACCCACTGTCTCCATCCTAAAGTATTTTACTGCCTGTGTTGTCTCCCCCACATGAGAGAATCTTTTATCCAAGTCTCTACAACGGGTGTTCACTTTTTCCGTGATTCCCCAGGATAGAGTTACATTTTTAAGATGTGGCAGGAGAGTTGTTAATCACAGGCTCAGCACGGAGGCTGTTTAATCACTTGAAATAGGGATCAAGCCTTGAAATAACATCCTTTCCACCCAAAACAGCCCTGGCTGTGGTCCGAGCATCCCTGCTGCCTGCCCACCCCCCACCCCTTGCCTGCCGCACTGCTGCCGGCTGCGCTTTCCACAGGGATCTCGGCTCCGCTCCCGGGCACGGCACGGCAGGACACGACATGGACACGGCTCCCGGCCCCGAGTGGGCTGTGGAGCCCGGGGAGGGAGATGTTCCAACGCAGGGCAGAGCCCCCTCGTTACCCCAGCAGTAACACAGCCCTCATGCCCGGCTCTGTTCTCTTCTCCCGACAGATTGAATTCACTGCAGAGCAGATCGAAGGTAAGCACAGACGTCACCTTCTCCCAGAGATGGCATTAGAAATGGGGAGTCCTTTTTCCAGGTAGTTTTTCACAGCAAACATGAGAGCCAAGGCTCCACACATCAAATGCCCTTTTTGGGGAAAGTCCAGCAGGGTCCAGGTACCCCGTTTCCCCCCAACACACTGCTCATCCTCCAGGATGGGCTCGAGGTTTCCTAGCAGGTAGAAGGGAGATACGAGATCAGAAAGTCGTGTCTCCAAGGAGCATCGGGCTGGCAAGAAGATGGGGAAGAGCACTGGTGGGAAGGGAGGAGGCTGGAACAATTCTGGAGGTGAGTGGGAGCCAGCGCAGGGATTTAGCTCGGACTGCAACGCTGGGAAGTCAGAAGCAATGAATGGATCCTGGCCCCTTGCTCTGTGCTGAGGGTGCCCCACTCGAAGAGGATCATCCCAGCTTCAGAGCCTGGCAGGGAAAAGGTATTTTTCCATTCATGGTGAGAGATGCAGGCTGGTTCAAAGTCTGGGATTTGTGTGGGAGGAGCAGTCTCTGGTGATGCAAGGACAGCCCCGTGCCGAGCTGGGATTGGGATTTCTCATCTCTCCACAGACAGTGTTAATGCCTCTGTACAGACTAGGAAGGGACAAGATCTGAGGGCAGATCTTGTTGGGAATACTGGGAGGAGGAGACCCAGTATCTGACAGGCTCAGCCCCCAAACCAACTTTTGAAATGAGAAATGGAAATGTGAGCAAGTTAAAATGTGAAGATATCTGGACTGAACCTGCAGTGACATCCCAGAGCATATGATGTGCTCCTGTGGCTCCAGGTAGTCAGGAGTGGACATCACCAAGCACCCTCGTAGTGGTGCCTCTTGACCCAGGGACTCGCAGGCGGTGATGTCCTTCCCTGGATCCCCCCCGAGATGGAGGGATCTCACCTGCAGAGATTGAACCATTGTGAGGTCAAGCAGGATAACAGCAGCACCCTGAAGTGCTGGGGGGGACTCTGGGCAGGGCTATAGGTGGAGGGCATAGACATCATGGGGACAGATCCACGGGATGGTGAGGCTCAGCAGAAGATATAAAGGTGCCAAGTACAAAATGGAGCGAATCTAAAGCCCTGGGTAAGAATTCCCACCAAACCCAAGCCGATGCCTACCTGACCAGGCTGTCTCCATCGCTGCGTGGAGACCACAATCGTCTCATCCCACCCAACAGCAAGAGGAGCAGCAGCTCCGCTTTGCGTGAACTACTGCTGGACATCACAAAGAAGATGGACCAGAACCTGGAATTTATTAGCGCCACGGACAAGAAACTCATAGCTCTAAGTGCTCATGTGGAGAGGCTGGAAAAGCTGATTAACTGTTTGGGCCAGTCGCTGGGCTGGAGGCAGCAGGATGAAATCCAGAAGTGTGCAGAGCATCTGCTGCAGGAAAACCATCATCTTGCTGCCTGCATGGAGCCTCGGGGTCCTTGACTTGCCTGCAAGGAGAAGGGTAAGGACTTGGGAGGGATGTTTCCTAGAGGACTGGTTTCACACATTTTGCACCTCAACACCAGTGAGCAGCCTGTTGTAGTGGAGAAGATCTTCTGGGTTGAAACGAGAGGCAGAGACCAGGCTCTGAGCAGCACAGGTGCATGGTTATCCACATAGCCACCACTGGGATTAAAGAGAGAATCCATCATCAGGTCAGGAAGCTGAAAAGCATCATACACGGAAGGAAAGCAATACTTAATTGTTCCTAATTTAGGGCTCCTTCCTCCAGGTAAAATGTGGTAAAATCAGTGGCATGATAATTTATGGGAACGAGCTTGGAAATGAATCTCCCGTGTCCTTCCACGCTGGGCTGGTGTGACATGTGGTCTGCAAGGTTGTGGTGGATATGGTCACCCTTCCCCAAACACGAGCAACACCGTGCTGTGTCTGCCAGGCTGGGGCTGGGGGGATGCCAGCAGAGCAGACAGGGTGTTGCAGATGTCATGAGGGTGCAGCGGGAGGGTCATGGGGTCCCCCTGATGCCTGAGTCAGAAAGGGGAAGAGCAAAGGGGACGTTCTGCAGCAGAGACAGCAGCCTGCACCTGCAGCCGGTGCTGCCAGTGCAAGGGGGTGCAGGAATCCCAGCAGGTCATCCAGCCAGCTCCACATGGGTGGCAAAACTGGCTCAAGAAGCTGAGCGACTCGTTGAAGGAGCCTGGCAAGCTTCAGCGGCTCGTTGCTCAAGCTAGCACAGGGCTGCTTGCCCTGGGCAGCAGCGAGGGAGGCAGAAGGCACCTGCCAGGCACGTGTCCATCCCTCCCCCGCCTGCCAGGCAGGACTTGCCTCGGTGGGGTGGGAAGTGTGGCTGGCACGGCAAGGGACATCTGAGCTCTTCTTCCCCGCAGAGTTCAAAGAAGCCTTCAGCCTGTTTGACCGGACGCCCACAGGAGCCATGCAGATCACCTACGCGCAGTGCGGCGATGTCCTACGGGCACTCGGCCACAACCCCACCAACGCAGAGGTCCTGAAGGTGCTGGGCAAGCCCAAACAAGAAGGTGACAGCAAACTGGGGCAGCAGGGACAGGGTGGGACAAACAATCCCTGTGCTCCCTGGCAGCGAGTGAAGGATTACATCCCCTGCAGGAACAGCCCTGCAAGATGAAGGAATTGGGAAGGAAGTGACACAGGGAGGCTTCATTCCTGCAAAATTCCTTCCCTCCCCCTCCCCTGTACCACAGCTGACGTAAGGGGTAGGATGTCCTCAGCTGTGGATGGTGACAACTGATGCTTAGCAGACCATATCCTGAACTGGTAAATTGGTGTAACCTGACCAGTCCCAGTGCTGTTGCATTGCCCTGTTGACAGAGGACCTACCTGCTTGGTTTAATTTTTGGCTGACATCAATGGTCTGTGTGCAGTCCTGAGACATTAATACTTTAATCCTCATATGGATCTTCCAATCTCAAGTATAATATACTAACAGACCCATCACCTTCTGCGGTTTCTCCCCTGTACTCAGATGGAAATGAGTAAAGGAAAGTTAAGCAGGTCCTCAGAGGCTGACTTCACCCTGTGAAGTTAATCTCTGACCTCATCTCCACCTCCCCTTCCAGAAATGAACACAAAGATGCTGGACTTCGAGACCTTCCTCCCCATCCTGCAGCATTTCACCCGTAACAAGGAGCAGGGCACCTTCGAGGACTTTGTTGAAGGGCTGCGCGTCTTCGACAAGGAGGGCAACGGCATGGTGATGGGGGCTGAGCTGCGCCATGTGCTGGTCACACTGGGTACGGGCTGGCCCTGGGGAGGGGAGCAGGACACAGGCCACCCCTAAGCTCTTCCTGGGCAAACAGCTCGGGTTATTTTCCTGGTCTCACACATCAGAGAGACCTATTGTATTCTGAATTTGTAAGAGCGAATGGCTCCTACAGTGGCTCGTAAGCTTTTGTAGGAGCGAATGGCTCCTGAATATGTGGCCTTTTCCATCTTTTGCCACAGCTTCATGCATGATCCAGGTGAGATGGAGAGTCCTTAAAATCCCCAGTTATCAGACAACCATTGCAGCTTAGTCCTCCCTCCACAATCTCCCACCAGCATTCCCCGGTCTGTAGTGGCACACAGCTCCTTTTTAATCCCCCTCTCCTTCCTCTGGTGGTTTTGGCTCTCTGGAAGAAGGACAGGAGGGTCCTGGCGGGCTGAGAACCCTTCCTCTCACCTCTCTATCCTCCTCCTCCAGGTGAGAAGATGACAGAAAGCGAGGTGGAGCAGCTCATGGCAGGGCAAGAAGATGCCAATGGCTGTATCAACTATGAAGGTAAGAGCAAGAGACGCCCATTGGGGCCGTCCCAGACATGGTCATCTTATATTAGGGTGCAAAATGTGTCCTCTGTGAGGACACTGGTGACCACTGAGAGGGAGGTGTGGACCACCCTCCAAAGCCTCTCCGAGGAGAGCTGAGAGACATGTCAGCTGGGGTGGGAACAAGGCGGTTGTGCCAGTGACTTCCAGTAAAAGCAGCAGAAGACAGCACGTTTCCAAGGGTTTCAGGACTGTTTTATCCTCAGTTTTGGCACTGTTTTGTTGTAAGCTATTAAAAATAAACAAAGCCAGCATCCTTCACAGCAGAGGCTAATTAGGAACATTTGGAGACCCAGATCGCACACAGCTCCAAGAGGGTGAAAATCTGGCGTAGGGGGTGGTTAAATCTGGGAACCCCTAAAATTGGAAAGCAGTGAGGAGAAGAGGGTGCCCATTTCCCTTGGCCTCAGAAAACTGGGGATAGTGGTACCGGCTCGTCTCCAAGAGGGGTTTGGTATCACTCTAACCAGGTTTGGGATGGCATGAGTAAGGCGGGAACGGAAGGAGAAATCGCAATCCTGGCAGAGCATGTCCTCTTCATCCCTGGGGTGCCCCCAGCACCCCCCGCTGCCTCTCTGCCCGCCCCACCACAGCTCACAGCATGCTTTGACCTCTCATGCTCTCATTTCTCATTTCCTCCTCAGCTTTTGTCAAGCACATCATGTCTGGCTGAAAGAAGAAACTTCAGGTGAGTTTATCAGGGTCTCCTGCTGCTTACTTCAAAATTGGAAATCCTGCACATAACAGCCAGGGGCAGAGGAACTAAAACCCAAACCCCACAGGCAAGCCTGCAGTGGACTAATGCCACAGGAATAATCCCAGCTCTGAAAGCACAAAAAGCTTCATGATAATGAACCTCATTTGTAACTCGTTCCATTTAAAATTTATCGGGATAGCATCAGCCCAGTGACTGTCAGTCGTGGTCTGGTTAATTGTGTCAATTCTCTGCTCAGAAAGAGGTTGGTGTGGTTTATGGCAATACATTTTCTAACCCACCAGGAGCTCAGGTGGTCATCAAACAGCAGCCAGTGGAAATAAATATTTAAAAACCTGCAGCAGTGAATGACTTAATGCTAAGAAAATACTAAGTACTTAGCAAGGAAATTTCTGAACTGAGAAATATCAACATTGTCATTAACATTAGAAAGAATATGGAAAATGTACCACTGATGCTTGTTTAGCTTTTTGTGTTCCTCTGAGTCTGCCTGAGGAAAACAGAGAAATAGGTTACTTTTAGGGTGAACTGTCCCTCTGAAACCTATTCACTTTAAAATAAAATCCATATTACTAAGAAATGGCCCCCATCTCCCCTGCCAATTTATTAAGGTTTTGTTATCTCACTTTGCTTAAACATGTCTCCTCTCCTCAGCAGTGTGAAAAGCAGCAGAAAAAAAAAAAAAAAAAGAAAAAAGAAAAAAAATGACCTTCAGATACTGCTAAATACACAAATTGAACATTTAAAATCTCTTTTTTTCCCCCCTCTACAAATCTTTTTAAAGAACAGAAGGTTAAAAAGGAGACAGACAGAAGTCTGAACTTTGAATGTTCAGCATCCTTTTTATCTTATTTTTAATCCATTTCTCTCCGGTTCCTGCTCATCAGCTCAGCAATATAGGTGGTTAGGTGGCAAATGCTGCCAGGAAGATTTAATTCTACACAAAACTATTTGCATGTAATTGTGTGGAATTACAGCTATTGACATTTTGGGTTCATCTGAGAAGGAGCACTCTCGTCTCAATGATTCATTGCATTAAGCTTCATGCTTGTTTCCCAGGCTCTCATAATTGTTTGAGCCCACCTGAGCACCAGGAACAGCAAGATGCCTCCATCCATGTCCCTTCCTCCCTGGATGTTGGACATCTGCAGAGACGTTTCGCATGAGCCACCATGAAGAGTTGGCCTCCACGTGTGTGTGCCTAAGCCTTGGTATACAATGAGACACCTGCAACTTCGTTTTAAACCTTAAGTTATTCTTTTCAGGTTTTTCCTGCGACATTTGGCTCATTAAATATCATTCCTTCCTCCTTTAAACAGTATCTCTGCTTTGGCTTTGGATTACACATTCAAGGAGACCCCTCGGTCTCCACCAGCTATCAGAGATAGTAGCATGCTCCCACAGAGAGGGGAAAAAGGCGGGTTTTATGACTGCTAGATGTGAGGGAGGAGTTCTGACTTGGGGGTGAGGGTCTTTGCTCAGTGTGGGGCCACGTCTTGCCGATGGAGGTAGGAAGGCCTGGAGTAAAGCGAGCATAAGGGACAGGTTGCATCAAACGGACCCCCTGTTCTTGGGAGGTCCTTCAACTCTGCTCTGCCCTAAAAGCAGCCCTTTTTCAGACCTGTAGCCCATCCACGCTACAACAAGCTGCGCCGTGAGCATTCCCTCCAGGTCCAGGCTGAACTGTATCATGGAGCAAAGAGGGACTTGCTTGGCCCTGCATGCTCCCTGTCATGGGAGAAACCAGCAGGCACCTTTCCTTCATCAACATGCTGCCTGTCCCAGCTAGAAAAGGCCAGAGGCCCTTTAAAAAAACAAAAACAAAACCAAAAACATCAGAGAAAACATTAAAAACATTTTTTTTTTTTCTATATCACTGAAAGTCTAGTTTTGAAGGTTGGTTTCCAGGAAGTTGAATCCTGATGAAACAGCAAGGGGGATGGAAAATGAGAAAGCAACAGGTATTTCTGGGCCAGGTCCCACCTCCACCCTCATGGAACAGGGCAGTGGGTCCCTGGGGTGCAGGTAGTGTCCTGCCTGGGATGGAGCCCAGCCAGGACAGGGTTCCCTGGATGGTTCCTGATGGTAGACAGCATGTTATCAGCCAGAAACTGTCTGGGGGCTGTGTGATGCAAGCTGGTGGCTCTCTTCCTCTTCCTACCTGAAAAAAAGATCATCATAGCATCATTAGAAGCAGTGAATAATTCATGACAGATAACTCAGCCCTCCCATCAGCAGAGCACCTGGGAGCAGAAAACACTTTTCTTTTATTTGTTTCTTATTCCAATGTCCTCGCTCCATGACTTTGACTGGAAATTGAAGGCGTTTTGCTCCGATGTGGTTGACTTCAGCTGCCACTTGCTCGTTTCTGTGCAGAGACTGAGTAACAGCTGCTTTCAATTCCCACTGCTTGATTCAAATGCTCATAAAAAGCAACATAAGCTGTTTATAGATGCAAGATTAGATTTTAGCTTCTGTCTGTGGTATTTCTACAGCTTCCATTAGGGAGAATCTAGGCATCTTGTGTCTTTAATGTACTGTCTGTGTTTTAACCTGTTAAAGGACCATGGTGCAGGGTGAGAAAGGACACTGCTTGCTGCACACTCGCTCCGGGGTCACATTTGCCCTTGCCACCACTGTGGCACTGACTCCTGCAGAGGAACGTACTGTTGCAGAGAGGAACCGAGCAGGGGAGAGGCGGGGGACCTGCCCAAACTTGCAGAGGAAATCCACAACAGAGACTGGGAGCCCTGCTAGCTGTGATATTCCTGCCCTGGCAAGCCAAGAGGCTGCACTCTCGCTCCTATACGCAGAGTGCAAGCCTTGTATTTGAGCCTCCAGCTCCTGTGCAGACAGGAATGACAGTGTAAATTAAAACCAAAGAGACTCCTGCAAAGAGACATACAGAAAGAGAGCAATGGAAAATGACAGAGAGAACTAGAGAAAAACGTGAGGGCTCTGAAATCCAGACTTTGAAGCACCCTCAGGGTAACATCCAGCCACGCTTTGCTTTGGGGACCTGTTCTGTCTCTTTAGGATAAAGCAGAGCTGATTTGTACTAAAGCAGGTTGGAATGATGCACTCAAACAGGAACAGTATATACCTCTGTATCTCTATAGCTAAATATATCTGTATGTGCCTCCATTCCCTGCCTTCTCTTTTGGAAAAGCTGAGGATCCCGAGGAGCAAGCAGTTTAGTCCCACAGATATTTATTAAAAGCATCTGTGGACACCAGTGAGTGGCCCCACATGCAGACCAGCACTTCAGGACTGGAGGAGTCTCTATAAATTGAGATGTCCCAAGACAATAGTCAACACTCTCCTTTTATAGTTGGGATGCTCTACTTGAAGTCCAGGGACTCTGAGGAGAGGTAAAAATAACCCCCCACTCTAAGGAGAGCCCTATGGCTGTATCTCCTCAGGCTGCGATAAGACAGAAGCTCATACCAAAGATGGTCTGGATGTCAGGAGCGTTAGTGCTGTGCCCTGTGAAATGGAAGAGACAGATGGAGCCAGCTTTCATCCTGAGGAGTTATCAGCAGCGCGTGGCAGGTCAGAGAGATCAAGATGAGGATGATGAGCATGGACTGTGCTCCTTGGAAAGCTCCCTCAGATCCCCAGACCCACGTACGCAGACACCACCGTCATCATTGTCACCGTGTGAGGCCAAAGACCTTTAGGGAAGGCAGAAACTTCACTGTATCGTGTTGTTCACACCCTTTGTGTTCAGCAGAATGACTCGGGTCAGCCCGATAGCAAGCCAGGTATCCGTTCCAGGGGGAAAGCACTCCTCTGTAACCTATTTTGTTATTTGTCTCAGGTCAAGGATTGAGGAAAACTTTGCCTTTCCATGCCAACCTGCTCACACCCTGAAAGCAAACACCTGCAGATTTAGTGGAGCGATAACGAACTTGTAAATACGCTTTTCAGAAACACAGAGAAATACGTGTAAAGAGAGCGGGGAAGCAGACAGGCCAAGCCCTCCTGCTCTACACACAACTTTTAAACGAAAGCCCCACACACGCAACTTTTATTTTCACGTAAAAATGCAGCCCCCCGTTGCTCCCACATGTGCTCTGCAAGCGCTCAGCACCACATCAGGCAGTGCCAGGATCCGTCCTTCAGGCAGTCACGTGCAAGGACAAAAGGTACTGGAAAGAGCAGGATAGAGCACAGAGCGTGTGTGCGTAGGTGTGGGTGTGCTGGGGGGGGGGTTGTTGTGTGCTGGTTGTATTCCAGGAAGCCCGCAGCGGGGTTTGGTGAAGGCACGCCTCTGCTAGTTGCAGGTGGCTATTGATAGGTCAGTATTTTTAAGAATTTGGAGTCCAGTCGTGCATCTTTATTCCATCCATTTGGGAAAGAAAGAGAGTTCTCTCTGTGCCAGATGTGGCACCTTCAAATTGATTCAAGTCGCAATTGTCAGACTACCCCCCTTGCCCTGGTACCCCAATCTGCCCGCTTTACTCCTGCCTATCTTGGCTGTACCCCTCTCTGAGGGGAGGGCTGGCAGCACACGACCCCTCAGGACTGCCCGGTCGGTGACGGGGTCAGGACCTGGACCCCCTACACCGACAAGCAGCGACAGGGCAACCAGCGGCCAAAGCCCAGCACCAGTGGCCAAACTGGCCCAGGCCACCACAGGCTCCCGGTGATGGCGGGTGGGAGAATTCCAGTCAGCATCCTGAGGGATGCGGGGGGCTCCCGACAGGCACCCGCAGCAGCCCGGACACCCCAGAGCCCCGGGGTTTTTTGTTTTTTTTTGGGGGGGTTTGAGTGTTTGTTTTTGGTTTTTTTTTTTTTTGGTACAAAGTCCAAGTTTCTATTTCGCAAAGGCGCTTTGAGGAGCGAGCCCCGGGCCCCGCAGGGAGGCCCCATCACGCCGGGTGCCTCGCTGTGAGGGACAGAACGGCGCGGCTCCCCAAACCCCGCTGACCGGACGGTGCTCACGGGCACCGGGGGGAGGCGGGGGCGGCCCCGGGCCCGCTCCCCCCCCTCCCCGCCCCGCTCGAGTATCTCCGTCCGCGCTCGGGCGGCTTCGACGCTTCCGCCCGGCTGACGAGGAGGGGGAGGCTTTCCCAGCTGTTTTCCGTCGGCGCTCGGCTCTTTCCGCCTGGGGCTTCGGGTATTTCCGGCAGGCGGTTCGGGTATTTCCGCTGCCAGCTTCGGGCGGACTCGGCGCTTGGCCGGCCTCGTTCCTTCCCTCCCCGCCGCCTGCCCCGGTAACGGTCGCTGGGAGTTTAAATGAGCAGGGGCCGGGCTGGGCCGCGCCGCCGCCGGGACACGCACTGAGGCGGGGCCGGGGCCGCCCCGCTCCGGGCTCGGCGAGGAGGAGGCCGGGGAGAGAGCAGGATGACGGTGCTGCAGGAACCCGTCCAGGTACCGACCCCTGGGCGGCTCGGGCTCTCCGCCGCGCTCAGGCCCCAAGGCCCGGCCCGGCTCGGCCTGGCGGGGGAAGCCGGTCCCGCCGCGCCGCCCGTTTCCCGGGGGCGGCCTCCCCGCCGCTGGGCCCTCTCCTGTTGCGAGGGGCCCCGCTTCGCTCGGGCCGCTCCCCGGGGGGGGGGGCTGCGGGCTCCGGGAGACCCCTCCGCCGGTGGAAGCTGGGTGCTTCGGCCGCTCTCCGCCAGCCCGGGCTCCTCCGCCCTCCCGGCTGGCAGCCCGTGGGTCGGCGGGGCTCCCTCACTCCTTCGGGCGTCCCCTCCCCAGCCCCGGCGCCTCGGGGACGGGCTGCCCTCGCCCTTTTGCCCCTTTCAGGCCCCCGGCCGGGGGCAGCCGGCCTCCCCGTAGGAGGTGCCGGTCTCCCCGCTGCTCCGCAGCTGAGTCGGCTGCTAGGAAAGGCCTTTTCGGCTCCCCCCGTGGATCCACTGGGAGACCTGTTGATACCTCTCTCTCCATCTCGCTTACCTTTCTGCATTTGCTGTTACTTCATTTTTAAATGCTCACAGCGTGCTCGGTTCTGAACGTGTCATCCAGATGAAGGACATTACTTCTTCCCAAGGAGTTAGTACCTTCAGATTGATGGGAGACCTAGGAGAGAAAATAATGTAAATTTAGTTTTTCTACCATATTTTAGTCTCACTGCAGTTACCCTGATGGGTTTCCTGCTCTTGTTCTCAGTCTTCCCATCCAAAAGACATGAAACACAGAATTAGGAGTTGCTGCTTCTTTCCGCTCTTCTTGTATGCCCATTACTCTACTATTTTGTAATCTTTATTAATCAATCTTATTAATGTTGTCATTCTTCTATTTTTTTTTTTTTTCAATTTTTTTTTTAATCTTTTTAACCGGGTGGTGCTT